ATATTATTAGACTTGAGACAGCTGAAAACGATGTGTTCTATGAAGTATTACATGTTATGCAGTTTAAAAGCGGTTGTGTGTGGGTGTGGGTGGGTATAGGTGTAGTACTTTCTTACACCAACACCCTAGTGAGTGTGGGTATGTGTGTTAGTTTGTCCAATCATTCATCACACCCACGCCCACACCCAAACCGCTTTTAAACTGCATAACATGTAATACTTCATAGAACACATCGTTTTCAGCTGTCTCAAGTCTAATAATATACAATCACCTTTACTTGAAAAGCGATAGAGTTTAGGATATCATAGCAGATTCGGTTTTGAGTTTGGTAAAGTGTTATGTTTTGATCTCTCAGGTACCTTTATTCTGAACTGCTAAGAGGTAAAAATTTTAATTAAATTGTAGTTATCGGCAATTTGAATCTAGATCAAGTCACAGTTCTAGGGTTCTGTTAGGAAAGATTGGTTAGTACTCTACTGATTGGACGGCGTGGCTCTTGGTATTAGTATTCTACTGTCTCACAATCAGACAAGAATCTACAATCACATTGATATCCTGGAAAACTCATCGAAGAGTGCATATGTTTCCTAGTTAAGCTGAACATTTTGTCAACTTTAATATAAATGTACACTGAATTTCATTAAGAAAAATGTAGGAATACTCTTTATTACATGAAAACAAAATTTCCATCATATTACAACAATGAAATACATTTGGATTAGAAATAGTTTATTGATCATCTAAGTAATCGAAACTTTATATAATTTGTTTTGCTGCGGATAATGCGTCGTTTCTACCACTATGTTTTTTGTTCTTGTGCATTACTCAATTGTACTTTTACATCTTGCACTCGATTGACAATAGAACGAAGCTGTCTTTGCACTTGAACATTTTGTTGATTCAATTGTTGAGCGACCGTTTTTAGATCTTTAAATATTGGTAACACTTGATCAATGTTAACGTTCATCGATGGTGTGATCAATGATGATAGACGTGTATTCCACTTACTTTCAAAGGCATTTATCTTTGCTTCGAGTTGCCTACATAAAATAAAAAGAAGACAGATAAGACATGATTTTTTTCCTAAGATTTACGTTTGTTGCTCTTTAAATATTTCCATAGCACACTCAAATGTCAACGGTCTTTGAGGACATTCTGAGGCATTGTGCCCTTCTTTACGACATCGGCGACAAAGTCTTGGCCAATATGGTCGAACATCACATTTCTTACCATCGAAGAGAATGTATCCATCATCGAGAATCTTCATAGCCAACTTATTGGATTTCATATCGACTCGAATAGCATCAGTCGGTTTTCCACTATCATCATGAATTCGAGAAACTTTTTCGACACCAACATAGTTATGTCCTAGATCATGTAACAATGTTTTTTCTTTCATATTCAATGAAATATCTGACATAAACAATGATCTTGTAGTCATTTGTTGCGGTTCAGATGATGAGCTTCGCGATCGTCGAGACGATTTTCGTTTTGAAGACGTTGTATTTTGTGAATGGTGAGAATTTTTTCTTTTCGAGGACATTATACTTTGGCAACAATAATTACAATTTCTTTCACCAATGTGTATACACTTTCTTTTACAAAGAAAAAGTGCATGTGTAATAATTCAGAAAAAAACCAGTGAAGAAAGTATGATGTAATATTATGCAATTACTTTCATATGTGTAAGTTTATAATGCAATATCAACGCGTGCATTTGCTATTCAATGATGAAGGAAAGAAAAAAAAACAATATTGTGCACGATCGTCATCAGCGAACAGAACAAAGTGATATTTTATGATGTGGTAAAATTAGATAAATGATGATTTCAAGTCTCTTTCCGTTAGAGCTTTCAAGTACTGAGAACACCACTTCTGAACTCGCAATTAAATTGATAATTGTTTGTGTTCTATTTTTACTATCATTGATGAGCATTTACTTTTACTTAATTATTTACCGAAAAAACACAAACTAGAGATTTGTGCATTTTGATCATGAAAAATCTATTGCTTAATCACTTTTTTATGATCTTTGGTAAGAAATTGTACAATCATTTATACAAGATTAGGAGTGACACATTTATTTTTATATAGCTTATTGTATTGACTAACTTTCAAAGTAGATTTTAGCGTATTTGATCAAATATTTTGTGATCAATCTTATAGATCTTGACTTCCGCTATAGGTTTTTCTCCACCACCATTTCTCGATACTAGTTCTGAACATAGTTAGAAAACATGAGCAAAATATTCACTTTTAACATTAACTATAAACATCTTTCCTCGAGTTTTATAACTGCCTTCATGAACAATATCGAAAAATGATCTTGGAGGAAAAGTTATAGCGCAAGTCAAAATCCACAACTTAGCAATAGAGGATCTGATCCAATGTCATCAGCTACTATGGAAATTAAGTCCACTATTTTACTGATTCCCATACTTTGAACAAAATTCGTCTTTTGTTTTTGATTGCTACTATTTTTAGTTCGCTTTGTAGTTGTTCACTCGTTTTTTTAATTTTGATGTTCTGTTTTCTTTTTGAATTAAATATTATTCTTATTCTAGAGACTATTTTAAATGGATAATGAAATCTATTATTTTTATATCCATGGCAAGTCTCAACGTATGTCGATAAACCCATAAACATTTGATAATCATCATTGTTCAATATTATCATTTTATTATTCTATGCTTGCCATCTCCATCAAAGGACGATTTTAGCAAATGAAGACATGGCTATTCATTATTTTCGACATTTCAAATACAAACTTTCAATATTTGAAAAAACTATAGACTGCTCTATTCACAAGAGTGGGTGTGTGTGTGGGGGGTGTGGGTGTGCGTGGGTGTGGATTGGGTGTGGATGTGGCTGTGGATAAGGGTGTTAGTAAAAATGGAAATGATACCCACCCACACCCACACCCCACACCCCACACCCCACACCCACACAGACC